CCTCCCATCCTCCCCGGGCTCTGGCTCCTCCTCCTTCGCCCGCGCCCTCGCCCCCCGCCGGCGGCGATTCCGTGCGGCCGTCGCCCCCTCCCCCTCCCCGCCCCCATCACGGCCGGAGCCGTACCACCTAGCGCGCACGAGGAACGAGGACTGAGCCTCAACCTCGACCAACCTCACCGCCCTCACGGCGGCGTCGCACGCCTCAGCCCGCGAAGCGCCAGCAGCATGCGCCGCGGCGTACGCCGCGTCGCCTACCGCCTGCCTCGCGAGAGACGCGGCGCGCCACTCGTCCTCCAGCGCCGCCGAGCCCCACGTAGGGTCTCCCGCAAACCAGTCCACGCCCTCCTCCCCCCCCTCCGAGTCGCCATCCGAGCTTAGCTCGCCCTCGCCCTCGCCCTCGCCTCGCGCCTCGCCGCTCCCATCCTGCGGCTGCGCCACGCCCCGCGCCTCGCAGCAGCCCCATCCTCGGCAGAGCCCGCCGCACATGCCATGCGCGACGTATGCCTGGCGCAGGCCAGGCACCTCCCACCCATCGTCAGTGGTGGCGAGATAGGGCGCCGCGCAGCGGCCTGTCGAGTTAGCCCACCGCCACGCGCCCGCCCGCCACAACTCGCCCGCCGACCCGGGCCGCCCGCAGAGGCAGCACGGCTCGACGACGTTGAGCCACTGCCCGACGTTTAGCTGCGCCCAATGCGCCCGCCACGGCAAAATTGATGCGGCCTGCAGGGACCGAAAGGTCGCCGACCTGATCACGGCTGCCGGCGCCTCGGCGCCGCACTATCAAACTATTAGCCTAATAACGTACCTAATTATTAGCAGGTACCTAATAACGCGAGTAGCTAATAACAAGCTAATTATTAGGCTAATAACAGCGCGTATTAGGTGCTTATTAGGCTAATAACGCGAGTCAAGCTAATAACGAGCTAATTATTAGGTACCTGCTAATAATTAGGTACGTTATTAGGCTAATAGTTTGATAGTGTGGGAGCATAGGGCCGCGGATCCGACGGCTTGATCCGGCGCCGCGGCGGTGGGCGTCGCCAGGGGCGACGAGTTCGGGCTTGGGCACGCCCCGGTGGTGGATGGGGTGGTGTCGGCTGGGGGGTGGAGTTGCGAGGGGGGTCGGTGCGGCACTGTGGGTCAGTCTGGGCTGGGTAGTCAACGGCCGTGGACGGGCCCGGGAACGGATCGGCTCCGTTGTGCCCTCCAGATGTGCGTCGGCCGGCAGGCGGCCAGGGCGCGTGCGGCTGTGTGGTCGTCCACTATGGACCCAGTGGTGACTTAGAAGTGCTCTCTGGGCAGTACACGTCCTATATAACACCTGTGGACCGGAAGGTACCGCCGTGGGCGTGGCGCGCCGCAGTCGCCGCGAGGGGCCGTCTAAGCGCCGTGACCCTTCCCGGGCCCCCCCTTGGGTGAGTGTGAGGGGAGGGCGCGTAGGCTGGCGTTTTTGCCTTTGAAAACTAGTTTTTTTTCTTTCAACAACGGTCAACGCTCCCGGGTTGAAGACCGCACTCCACATCCACAAGGGATCCAAAGGCCAGCGCAGGAGCTCGCAAAGGCGGAAAGCGCGACAGCGGCAGCGCGCAGCAGGGCAAAGGCTCTCGTCGTCAGGTATCACCTAGGGTATCACTCGGAACTCGCTTTCTCGCTAACTAAGCATACGCGACGCCGACACTGGAGGGCCCTGCTCAGCAGCAGCTGCAGCCGTGGACGAGCCGCTGCGGGCCGACGCAGGCCCGCTCTTCCCCACCGCCTTCGGCGTGGTCAGGCCCGGGTGGCAGGTGGTGTCCTGCAAAGCGCGATAGGGGCAAGGGAGATTACTACCGGTGGGAGAGCGAGGAGAGTGCCAGGAGAGAATACTGCGGCGCGCTCACCGCTGGCTTGGGCGTGTTGGAAACGGTCTTGGCCGGCTTCTCAACCTCCTTCGCAGCCTCCTCGGCGACGGCCTCTACGGCGGCGGACACCTCGGCGGCGGCGGACTTGATGGTCGCCTCCACGGCGGCGGACACCTCGGCGGCGGCGGACTTGATGGTCGCCTCCTCGGTGGCGGACTTATGATGTAACTTATTCCGGGGCCGGTGTGCGGGGAGCGAACCTTAGCGACCGCCCAGAAGCTTTCTGAGCGACCCAATCGGGCCGGGATCATCAGCATATGTCCCCTCCACAACATCGTGGGCGTTTGAGCGGTATTTGAGGACCACCGCCACTCTGAAGTTCGGCCGGGTGGTCTGCAGACCCCCCCCCCCGGAGCAGCAGAGGCTCCGTGGGGTCGCAGAGTCGACGCTGGGAGTCGCACTCGTCAAACCGTCGCATGACCACGCAGTCCGCACGTACCGCCCACATCCCCTCCACCGCTCAGAAGGCGCAGATCGACCGCCGGGCCGCGTAGTCGTCGTTAAGGAGCGGTTTTTGGAGCCGTACGAAGAGGTCCCAGACGGGCGAACATGCGGTTTTTCGATGACCACGCGCGATGTGGTATCTGGCTTTTGCTAAAAACGGGCCGCCTAGTGCAGCATCACTAGTACAACACGCAACCACACTGAGAGCTCCACACTAGCCGGTATAGGCGAGCCCCGGCGGCCTCACCGTCGCCGCTCGCGGCGGAGCCGACGGCGGAGCCACGGGCGGGTGCGACCTTTTGGGGGGACATGAGCTCGCCAGGACGTCACCGATGGCTCGGCGCGCCTCTTCCCGCCTGCGCGGGGCGGCCTGCCTACAGGAGCGAGGGGGGGGGAGACGGAACTGAGCCCTAGGTTCGTGCAAAAGCGCCGGCAAAGGCTGGGAGAGGGGCGGCAAGCGACGGGCGGGTGAGCGACCTTTTGAGCGGCCGTGAGCCGGCAGGGAGGCCGGCGATGGCTCGGCCAGCTCCTTCCCGGCGGGTTCTCGTCGGGCTGTGCCTGGTCGGCCGGGCTCGGGTGAGGTGAGTGGGCCCGGGAGTCGCATCTGCGCGTCCCCGGCAGTGGCAGTGTAGGGGTAGATGGGAAGTGCGGAGATGGGAGGCAACGCGCCTGTTTGATGGCCGCACCAGGCAAAGTTGGGCGCTCCGAGCGTCTTTTCGGCGAGAACGAGCGGGCTGTGCATCGTGGGGGGGTGACTGAGAGGGAGGTGGTCGTGCGCTCACTTTGTCGGCCGCGCGCGAGGAGAATACTGGGTGTGTGGCGCGCAGGAGGCGAGGGTGGGCGCGCCGGCGGTCGAGCCACCGAAGAATTCGACGTGGCGCAGCTCCGCGCCGGCGGGGACGACCGAGCACATGATGTCGGCGGCGGTCGCGCGACGAGCGAGAGCCGCAGGGGCCCTCTGTGGAGCAGGCGCGCGAAAGCAGCGATGAGTGGCGCTTCGATCAGCCACCTGTGGGCGGTCACAGGGGTCGCGGTCAAGCTCGCGACGGGGTAAATCTGGTGCGTCTAGTATCACTGGTGGGCTGGGTGTGCAGCAGCAGCGCTCAAAAAGAGGCAAAAAAAGCGGCTGCTACTTTGAGTGTCTACTCTTTCGGCGCACCGTGCTCGGCCTCGCTGAAAAGCTGGCTGGTGGTCGCGCGCAGCGCGTCAGCGCCACTCCGACTGGTTGGGCACCTCGGCTGGGTCCATCAGCAAGAGGCCCGCGCCGTCGGGCGGCCCCGGGAGCGCATGATGCCCCTCCGAGAGGCGCTGACGCCCCGCCGAGATCGCGCTGGTTTGGCACGAAAAACACGAGGCGCCCAGGGGGGGGGTCCGAATAAGTTACATCATAGACTCCTCGGCGACGACGGCCTCCTCGGAGGCGGCCTGGCTCCTGAGTGGCGGCCTCCTCCTTCACAACGACGTCGTTGTTGACGCCGCACGCCTGCGCGAGGGAGAAACGTAAATGTTTGGAGACGGGGACACCGCAGGGACAATGCCGATCCTGGCGTAAGTGCGCACCTCAGCTCCGAGGAGCGAAGGCGGCAGCGACGTGATGCAGGCCTTGACGGAAGCCGTTGGCCCGAGCTCGGTCTGAACCTGGGCCCCCTCCTCAGGCGCGAAACAAAAGCTGATTGGCACCTTTGCGAGGCTCCGATGGAACACGTGGGGGTTGTCGAACCAGACGCCCCTTGTTGATCTCACAACCAAGATAGCCGACTCGCCCTCGCTCTCGTTGAAGTCGACCATGTAGCGCCTCTCGGCGCACGTCCTGCAGAGAGCAGAGAGAATGGGGAGCATGACGCGGGCTCGCGTCGGGCGTCGCGGGAGCGCAGTAGGCATGGAGGCGATTCGCGGCTGCGCGCTGGGCCGTCCCTCTGCCCGCGATCTGGGTGTGCGCCAGATTCGTGTCGCTCGCGCCTCAGACGGAGCGAGCCGCGCGCGGGGCGTTCGCAGCAAGGGGGGCACAGGCACGAGCGCGCTGCAGCGCATGGGATGGGGGGCGAAGCGGCCGGGCGCGGGGAGTGGCGAGGGAGCGCACAACCGAGGTCCTCGCTCTCCGCCTAGCGGCGGTCGAACCCCAGAGCGAGTCACCGTTCACAGTTGTTGCTGTGAATGGACCCTTCGGGTCGGCTGCTGTTGCCAAGTATACTCTTTTTGTCCCTGGGCTGGTTTGAGTGGAGCTGTATTCTGGGGGTTGATCGAGGTGCGCTGTGAAGCCGCCTCGGATCTAGGCGGATCACATCTAGGCAGTATGAGCTCGATCGATGACGCCGTGCGCCTTGGACTCGAACTCTCTGTTCGCCTGTGCACCCGTCGGGACAGGTGGGGTACTTTTTGACCGTGGCGAGCGCGAATGTCAATACTGATCTAAAACCTGAAAACCTTAGCACGGAGCGGTGCAGATCGCAGCCACACCGAGCAGGCCCATCAGGGGGCGCTGCGGCACCGCGGGCGGCGGCGGCGGCGACGGCGGAGGCGGCGATGATGGGGAGGAGCTGGACCTCTTCAAGGGGTTCGACCTCTCGAAGGCGCCGAGATCGCCCGAGATCGCCCGAGATCGCCCGAGATCGCCTCGAGATCGCCCGAGATCGCCCGAGGTCGCCCGAGATCGCCCGAGATCGTCCGAGGTCGCCCGAGGTCGCCCGAGGTCGCCCGAGGTCGCCGGATTTGGACGTGGACACTGCTCGAGGAGAGCCCGCCCTCTCGTCTGCAGGCATCGCTCTCGCCTTGCTCGACCCTCGACGACCTCCAGGGCTCCCTCTTCTCTGCGCACCGCGCCCCTGGCCGCTGAGCTCTGGGCCTCTGGCACGCCGTCTGCCCCAATCCTTTTGTACAGTTGCCCCACACTTGCCCACTTGTCCCGCCCCTCCCCACGCCCTCGCGCATGCCGTTGCCACACTTCTCCACCTCCCCCCTGCCACACTTCCTTTTTCCGTACGTCGTGCGCCCATGTACCCCGCACCCATCCCCGCCGTTCCGTCGTCCGGTGAGCCGCGGTGTGCGGTGTGATCTGTGAAAGCTCGCATCGTTTTGCATGGCCAATGTGGCGTGTCCGTCGGTGTGTTATCCTTGGGACCTTGCTGGTCGCCGCGCGTGTACTACACCTTAGCAAGTGCAAGACGATAAAGCGCAATACGTGACGGCGTACGTACACAGGACGAGAACAGAGAACACAGTAACACCCCCACAACGATCAACGTAAAGACCCCGTCTACGGGTGACCGCGGACATATTCGCATATTTACCAAACTCGACGAGCTGCCGCTGCCACTGGCGCCGCCGCAGAGGCCTCCAAGATCACGTCGCGCGCGTGGTTGGCGAGGCTGACGGCGCCCAGGCCGGAGCCGACGAGCAGGAGCGCCCAGCTCCCCGCCCTCTCCCGCAGCGCGGCGGCGCGGCCGAGCCGCAAGTCGATCGCGGCGGGGAGGCCGAAGGAGAGGGCGGTGGAGGCGGCCGCCCCCGTGAAGCCAAACACGACCTCGACCCTCTCGACCACCAGTGCGAGCAGCAGACTCGAGCCGACGATCGCCAGCGTGAGCGGGACGCGGCGGCCGGCGCGCCTCTCTCGGAAGAGCAGCTGGTCGAGGCTGCAGCGGGCCGCGAAGTGGAGGCAGGGGTAGGTCAGGCAGATGGAGGTGGCAAAGGCCAGCCGCACCGCGCGGATCGCGGGCGAGGGCAGCGCGGCGAGGTTGAGGAGCACGTTGCCCCGCAAGTCCTCTCCAAAGTGGCAGTACGCCGCGACGCCGGTCAGCACGTACAGCGAGCCAGCGGCGGCAAAGGCGGCGCCTGTTCACGGCGGCTCCCGCTGTGAAGAGCGGTGGCGCACAGCGAAAGCGAGAGGGCGGCGGCCAGAGGGCTGCGCCGGTGAGGCGGCGCATGCGGGAGGGGGTTGGCTGGTCGGTCTCGCCGTAGATTGGGAAGAGACTCGTCTGGCACATGAAGGCGAACGCGCAGATCGGGACGGCGCGCACGTACCCGGCGACGCTGCTCTTGAAGGCGGAGGGCGGCTGCTGCGGCGGAGGGCCGTCCGCCCACAGGCAGAGGAGGGCGATCACAAAGACCGCATAGATGGCGATGGCGGCGCCGGAGGCGAAGCGCAGCGAAGAGATGTCTCGCAGCGAGGCGAGCGGGAAGATGACGAGCCCCACGGCGAGGAGCAGCAGCGGCGGGCGACCGATCGACAGGCCGGCGCTGGCGGCGAGAGGGTGGAGGACATCGCCAACCTAGCGTGACTTCACAAGAGTAAGAGCAACCACTCTCACTAAGCAAAGGGAGGTGGAGGATCGCCCGCCCACCTATTGTGACTTCACAAGAGTAAGAGCAACCACTCTCACCAAGCATAGAGAGGTGGAGGATCGCCCGCCCACCTATTGTGACTTCACAAGAGTAAGAGCAACCACTCTCACTAAGCAAAGGGAGGTGGAGGATCGCCCGCCCACCTATTGTGACTTCACAAGTAAGAGCAACCACTCTCACTAAGCATAGAGAGGTGGAGGATCGCCCGCCACGATGACGTACGAGACGCAGGAGCCAAAGCAGTTGACAAAGGCACAGCCGTGGTACGCGAGCCAGCCTGGTCGCCCGAGCGCCACGCGAGCGAGGTCTTCATACGTCGCCTTTGCCGGCTCCGCCCGCCTCGCGGCGCGCAGCAGCAGCATGCAGCCGTGCCACGACATGCCTCCGAAGACGAGCTGGGAGAGGACGCCGGCGACGAGCCCGGAGGAGCGAAAGGCGAACGGCAGCGCGAGGATGCCGCCGCCGACGATTGTGTTGAGCAGGTTCAGGCTGCCGGAGAGGAGCGAGGCCTGCCGCGGCGGCGCGGAGGAGGCACCGCCGAGGAGCGTGCCGGGAGCCGCGTCGAGCTCGGCAGCAGACTCGCGCGTTATGACGCCGTCCAGCACGCGCGACATGTCGGCTATCGGTCGCGACGCTAGGAAGAAGGAATGCGCTGGGAGCACCAGTCACGGGAGAAGGGCGCGGACTCACGCGGGCCGAGCGGTTTCTTTCTTTTTGAGAGCGCCTTCGTTGTTTCTTTTTCCTTTCGGTCCTTGCAATCGACTGCATCCCCCCCCCCCCCCCTGTTCAGCGCGAGTGACAAGCCGAGAGAAGAAGAAGCAGCCCCAACTTGAGAATCGTGCTTGGGTTGGGTTGTTGGGTTGGGTTGGTTGGGTCGGGTTGGGTCCTGTTCCGCGTGAGGTGAGGCGTGAATCCTTTAGGATTCTCGCCCGCTCTGCTGAGGGGAGGAGCCGGACGATCGCTCGGTCGAGCCTGCCCTGCTGGTCTCTGACCTCATGTTGACATTCTATTCACAGCTGGATCTGTCGAGTGAATTCCGGCGGGCCATAAGACTTCTCGCAAGCGGATTCACCTTTTCGTAGGTGTGGTTGGTGGCTCGTGTTTTCACCTGGTTATGCGTTTCGCAGCAAAACGGCACGCTGAATTCAGTTTTTGTTCTACTGACAATGATCCAAGCCGTCATAGGCGGCAGTCCACCCCCGACGGCGATGATACAGCTTCCGGAATGCAACCACATCTTCGTGGCGTGAAATGTTAACAGCGATGGAGCCGTCGCTACGCGTGATGAGTGGCAAGCGAAGGCTGTCCACTGCCAGAGGAACGAGACCCTGGTAGACGGTCCGGGAGTCATTGCTTCCATGGAGACCCCTGGCGACGTTGATAGTGCCGTCCTTGTTACGGATGACCACTCGCATCACGGCAGCCACCCGAGCTGCTGCACGGTTAGCGAACGGTGCGCGGGGGTCACTCAGGTGAAGATGTCGTTTACCCATAATCAGGCAATCGCCCTCCGCGGCGTCGACATAGCGCAGCCTCAGGCTGCTGACCTGCGGCTCTGCCCCACGAGCAATTCCAGCAAGTGCGCCCTCCTCGTCAGCCTCCGTGTGCCCTGTCCGCTTCAGCTCGTCGAAATGCTCGGCCAGACCAGGCGATGCAAACCCCGCGCTCCATCTACCATCTTCGAAGGTGTACTGCATGGGTGGGTTGGTGTACTCAGGGTGCTTCTCGACCAGTATAAGGTTACCGACCGATGGTGACGCGCTCTGGGTGCGGTTTGCTGCTCTGAGAAGGTACCACGTTTGGTAGCCGCCCATGTCCGGCCATTGCGCCCACTGGGGATCCCAGTGAGGGTGGTTGAACCCTCCCGACACGAAATTGACGAGCCTGTGACTGAACGGAATCAGGTCATCAAGAGTGAGCACCCGGCCGGGGATGTGCACGTGCTCCAGCGTCGCCTTGAGCAGTTGGCAGGACCACCCGGTTGACAACCCGATCTCCCTCGTCTCACGCATCCTGTTGTGCGCTTCGTGAATATCTACCAAACCTGGATGAAGCTCCGGGACACGAACAATCTTATGCTTTGCGGCTACACCCTCTCCAACGTTGATTCGCCCGCGGTTTGAAAAGTCACCTGGCCTCAGTCTCGGGGCTGCGTCAATCTGCTGCCGTGAAGGAGCGTGGTTCCAAGGTTCGGGAGCCTCCTTTGCCACCTCTGGATGCCGACCAGCCTGCGTCAGACTATTCATCTGGTGCTGCCGCTGCAACGCCATCCCCAACGAGACGATCTTGAAGCCCGCCTGCTGGAGACGTGTGGCAAATGAAGTGTTGAGTGCATCCGCGCCGAGGGTTTTGAGGTAGTCGGCGACAGATTCGACCATTGCCACGCGATCCTCAACATCTTTGTCAGAGCGGTCGGGCCCAGTGCGGGTCGCCTCGCTGGCCGCGTCGTCGGCACAAACCAGCATGAACGCGGGCCATAGGAGAGCCGGCAGCGCGAGGCGCATACTACCCTATTCGTGCTATTACATCATTCTACTACGCCGTTATGCGACGGGCGCCACTACAGCTTTCGCCGGTCGGGGACCGGTGCGCGTGTGGAGACTGCACGTACGTAAATGCCCCGTGCGTGTCGCGTCCTGTGCCGTATTTGAAACGTCTCGAAGGCGAGCGAGTTCCTTCTCTTTCTTTTTTGCGCACCAGTCAGTGCAATCAGTCAGTTGCCCGGGCACCAAACCAGGACGCAGGGCCAGGGGGGCTCTCGCTGTGGCCTGTGCACAGGTTGATCGGCCGTCGTCGGACTCTCATTAGAGAACCAAAACACACAAAACACGTCCGTCGACAGAACACACGAAACTCCGTCGAGCACAAGATCATTGACAAACAACACTGGTGCAATGACAGCACGTCCTGAAGAGACCACCACACACACGCCTAAGACGTGCTGTTCAATCGACAGTCCTTGAACGATAAATCGCCGTCGGGCCCTGCCGCCTCTCAACTCGCCGCTTCAGTCGGGCCCTTTCCTCGCCACTTAGGACCCCCGACTACGTGCGGGCGACCGCACCGCCCGCCCACGCAACATGTTCCTGTGCGCAGCTCCTCGCCGCTCACACGGCGCGCAACCGCGCCACAACAAATACACACGCGCCTGCATAAACTCGCGGGCGCCGTCGCGGTCGGCTGGCGTTAAGCGCCGTCGCGCCAAACCTCGATCATCTGCCGCAGCGCGATGTTTGGCACCTGTTCACACCTCGGGCGGCCGTAAAGAGACGCGAATCACAGCGCCAACCCCCTCCCGCCGCGGCATCTGGTGTGCCAATCCCGTCGTCGGCAGCATCATCCCCGTGAGCGGAGAAGGCGCCTGTAAGGGTCCAGGAAAGGTCTAGGAAAGGTCTAGGAGAAGGTGAGCCCCCGTGAGCGGTGAAAACGCCTGTAGCGGATATGTCGACGAGATCAGGCCGAGATGGACGCGGCAGGGGTGCAGTGCCCGAGCTGTGAAGACGGCGCCGAGGACGCGCTCGGGTGGTCGGCTGCGTACGTGGCGAACCTACACTCGGGTGGGTTGATCTGGGTGATCTCGGGTGATCTGGGGTGATCTCGGGTGATCTCGGGTGATCTCGGGTGATCTCGGGTGATCTAGGGTGATCTAGGGTGATCTCGGGTGATCTGGGGTGTGTAGTCTCAGCGTGGCGTGGCGAACCAGCGCTCGATCTCCGAGCGCTCGAACGTGTGCCCGTCGCATGTCGTGACCGGCTCGAGCATCACCTCCGCGCTGTGTCCACGGCAGCAGGTGTGAAGAGGCGCCGGTTACGGCAGACAGTGTGAAGAGGCGCCGGTTACGGCAGACAGTGTGAAGAGGCGCCGGTTACGGCAGACAGTGTGAATCGGAATCTCGGCTCAATCTCGGCAGTGGGCGGTGAGTCGCGGTGATGAGTTGCGGCGAGCGTGGCTGGAGGGAGGGGGTGTGGGCGAGTGTGGCTGAGGAGGGGGTGTGGGAGAATGTGGCTGGAGGAAGGGGGGGGTAGACAAACGTGGCTGGAGGGAGGGGGGGGGGGGGGGCGAGGCCGGGGTGGGAAAAACAAAGCACGCGCGCCTGATCGGGCAGGTAAACTGCGGAGGCAAGCGCCCGTCGTTGCCGGGGTCGGCGGTGCCAGGGTCGGCGGCGGGCGGGGAGGAGAGGAGCCTAAAGAGGGGAGATATGGGGCGATATGGGGCGATATGGGGAGATATGGGGAGATGTGCGGGAGATATACAAGAAGACACCAGCATGAGGGCGGGAGATAGGGGGAGATATGAGGAGATATGGGGAGATATGGGGAGATATGGGGAGATAGGGGGAGGTATGGGGAGATAGGGGGAGATATGGGGAGATCGCCGCACGTCACAGAGGACGAGATGCAATACCTCGTCAACGAGGCCGAGATAGGGGGAGATATGGGGGGATGTGGGGAGTGCGGTAGTCCGCCGTGTATTCGTAGCACCGCGTGAGTACGAGGGATACGAGTGCAGCTGACTACAGCGGAATGCGTGCCCTCTCGAGCCCTGGCTGGGGTACAAGCGTCCGTGTTCCGGCTTCTAGGGGGGGGAGCTTCGGCCAGCAGCGCCATGCCGCGGCCGCCACGCTGCTGCGCGGGGGCGGCAGCGGCGGCGTGGGCGGCGGCGAGGACGGAGGCGGCGAGTGGCGCGGCGGCGGCGAGGGCGGCGGCGGCGCGAGCTTCGAAGCTAGTGCGGAGTGGCCTGCCTCCGCCGCTACATGCTGCGGAGTCTTCCCCTCGCCATCCTCCGCCGTCAGCGAAACGCCGCGATCCGCCAGCCGCGCTGCCGCCTTT